TGAAGATATTTATAACCATTTTACATTCCATTATAATATTATAATTTTTAATAAAATATAATACATATTATAAATTTTTACATTCCATTTATAAATTTAAATTCGAATAAAAGGCAGGTATTGGCCGTACCTTCGCTTTTTCTCTTTCTATAGAGTGGTAAATTTAATGAGAGTACCTATTGCTCAGTCCATTCTCTAGGTCAATGTTTGGCTCCACTATTGTTAACGAGTGGCAACGCAGTGCACTGGCAAGTGGCAACACTCATTCTATATCTTTTATGCCACAAATATATTTAAGTAGGTACAGGATTTTGTCCCCCCCCCCCCCAACGTGCGTTCACCTTGCCGTGGTGGGGGGGGTGGCTCAGTAGTGCCCGGCAATCCAACCGGGCGCGAAGCTAAGAAACTCACTGGGAGGTTGCCCACTTCGGTGGGCGGTGGGAGGTGGCCCTCTTCGGGGGGCGGTGTTGCTCCTGGTACTTCTCTGACAGCAGAGTGGACCTTGAAGCAACCCCATGGTTGTGGTGGTCTGCTTTGGCAGACCTGCCGTCGGGGTGTCGTAGTTGAATGCGTAAGCTATCCTGCGACGCCCCATTAAGACGGGGGAAGGTTTTGTTGGGTTTTAGTGGGTAGTACTGGCTGTATTAAGCCGGTGAGTCCCACACGTCGTGCGTAAATGCATTTCCCAACTTTTTAAAAAAAAAAGGTACAGGATTTTGTAATCGATTGTTTGAATGGATGTGCTCGGGAGCCAATAGCGCGTAAAATGGTTACCCGATACAGTCTTAACTTAGAGCCCTTTAGCTTAATTGAAATCTATTTTCAAATGTTGTTTCAGTTGGATGGATTTTATTCGTATTATAAAAATTGGATTGTGAATTATTCATTAGGGTTTGAAATATATCATTAATTTTGTATTTTATTAGTGATCCTAGATGATCACCTATAGAATACTCAAATTTCATTAAATTAACAACTACAATTTGTTATTAATTTAATGAAATTTGAGGTTTCTAATGGGTGGAAGAATCACTAGAATCGATTAGTAATTTCAGAGTTTGTGTATTACAAACAAATAAACAAAAAGATGTTTCTTTAAAATATTATCAATACTTAATATACTGATATTAATTTATTCGATATAAATTGTTTAAAACGCCTTGAATATTGTTAAGGTAGCGTCTCTGAGTGACTTTTTCAAACTCTAGCCTCATTTTCCATGAGATCTACTTAAACTACATAACGGGATAAAAGTTGCTTACCTATAGGTATTACTCTCCGGGCCATTAACTGCGTATATAAGAAATCATGTCGATCCTTGACTGTTAGGGTTTGAAAAAGATAATCTAGCAAAATAACAAAAACACTTTCTAAATTATAACAATAATAATGATATGTACATAACTAAATAAAACATAAAAGTTAAAACAGTAACAAAATGTTCTTTAGATGAAAATGCAAGCGCACTTGTGTACTCTACACAATGTGTCGTATGAATAATATATCCTGAAAGGCCGCACCTTTGTCATATTTTGTTTACTGCGACTCAAAACAAAAGGTAGTGCATATGAAGATATTTTGCAAACTGTAACTGTAATTTTTCAAAAGTAATAACATTGTTGTTAACATAGTGCTCTAGATTTTAAACAATTTATTTTAATTTAAAAATGTAATTTCTTGATTGCATAGACATTCGTAACAAATGGGTTTTGTACGAAATTTGTGGTGAAGTAACAATAATTTACATAATAATTAAATGATGTCTTGATGATTTTTTGTTCTATCATTGTCGTGAAAATTCTACGTATCTTTCTCATCGATTTGGCAAATTTCAATTTTTCCTAAATTTATTTAATTTAATAATTAATTAATTAAATAATTTTTCCTAATTAAAGGAATTAAAATGTAGCTTTAAATTTAAATCCATAAGATGTCTTCATTTATTCTCACTTGAGTAAGTTCACTGACTTTCAATAAGGAAAGAAACTTAAAATAAAACCAATAATGTATGGTACAGAGTTTATTTTCATAATATAAACACACTATCTGTCCAATAATATTTACAAAAAGTAGGGATCCATATCGTGTTAACTTACCACGTTGCATTGCGTTTCTATGAAAAAAGCAATAAACCTTAATATAAGTGAAGGTTCTTGGTAAGGGTAACACTGAATAAGAGATTCCTTGCATGGTCCTCACGCAAATTCAACAATTATATTTTTTTTTATAATTTACAAGCATTCAATACCTCAGTACACCATTACATGATGACTAATAGCATAATATTCGATTTTCTAATTTTTACGTATTTTTATTGCATTAGTTTTGGAACTTTAATTACAGATTTCAGACTCAAATCTGATGAGCCACAGAAAATGAATAGCCATTGCGCATTTTGACATTATATTAAATGATATTTGTTATAAAAAGAATATCTTGAATTTAGTTTGTAAATTTGTAAACGTAAAAACAAAAAAAAAACATCAAGTTAAATTTCACACACACATTAAATTATAACATAATAACTATACGCAATGGCTTCCAGATTTACATAAATAAAAAGCAATTGGAATACTATACAAGATCAGGCTTAACTTATAAAATGCTTTACATAAGCTCTGCATTTGAAAAAGAACAGAGATCATCGATTTCATCCATCCACGTTCATTTTCAAATATTACGAAAATGCCTAGAAAATTTAGGCCAATTTCTATTACTACTTTATTTTCAGTTTCCGATCTGACTTTCGACTATATGCACATACGTATATGTTATAATAACGTGACGGAACGTGATTAGAAAGCTTTATTATCTAAAATTTTATTGTTATTGATTTTCTAACATATTTTAGCGCTGTATAGCCGTAATAAATGGGTATTGATAGTTTAGTTCACATTTTAGCTTAAATTAGTGGATAATAAATACGGACAGTAATACATGCAGGTAATAAAATACATAAAGCTTTCTATTCACGTTCCGAATAATGCATTATCTGCACCGACTTAAGCCTACTAAATCTGTATCACATAATATTAGATTAATTTACGTTTTAAATATAATTATAAATAATAATATTCGTAACATTAATATGGCAACAAAATATGTTACTAGCTAAGCACCTAGACCAGTAGGATTTATGTATTTACATAACTGTACATTTTATATATTTGTTATCACTCTCGTCTAAACGTTATAATTTTCTAATAAATTTATTGCCAATCAGCTTAGTTATAAGAGCTTCTTTAAATTATAATATAATAATTATATATTATTTCTCCGATACGAGGTTAGAATAAATTAACCAGTCAAAAATATAGGTCTATTACATGAACGTACTTCGTTTGATTCATCTGTAAGGAAGAGCTTACTACTGCTCCGACAAAAGTCGCTACAAGATCTTGATCCTAGTAGATATGTTTAGTCGATTACTAAATATAAATAAAGTAAAGGAATTCAAAAATGCGTATATCGCCAATCAACTACGTAACTACGGAAACAATGAACGACCACAGAGTACAATTTAATTTAATTTAAAACACTCCGAATATATTTACAAAAACGATTAAACATTGATATGCTCTGTACATTATATTAAATTGATATATTTTAAATGCATTTTTATATTCCATCATCTATATTTTTATACTCTGTAGTTAATTTGGAAGCTTGTTTTAGCACTAGTTTGAGACTAGCTACGCAGGACACTTACAATTTTCTAAATAATAATTTGATTAAATAACACCAATTATTCTTTAATTGTCTTTTAGATAATTTACACTACTCCTTTGTAGTTTATTTGAACTTGCTATAAGATATTTAAAGTTTAAATAACTTTAAAGTAGCATGTTTGGGGTTCATTTTTTTGGAGGTCATTCTTTCTTACGATAATTGCGAGTAGAAAATATTAAAAGAAAGAACAGCTATTTTAAAAAAAATCTAGAACATTAAAGAAATTCATATTTTATTTTCTCATATCTGTGATGAGAAAGAGAAAGAAAGAAAGAGAGACAGAGAGAGAGATGCCTCCTTACCTAAAATATATTTTATAACTTCATATAAATATATTGTTGTTATACTACGTAATTAGTTAGTAGTTAGTACGTAACGCGTTTGATTTAAAATGTCACATTCAGGTCATATTAACGAACCCATTTCTAACATTCAAACGAAATTTAACCTTCGAAAGGCTTAAAATTTCTATTTGAATATTTAGTAGAGTGTGTCAAAATGTATTATTTATACGTCGTCCCCTACTAAGGCTTTATTTGGAAATGGTTCTCTTGTAGCATCTCTTTGATGTAACGTTCAGAGACATAGGTTTAAATTCGTATTCTTGTTATATGTTAATTTGGGGAAAGTTGAATAAAATATAGTAAAATGTTTAAATCACTCTTTTTGATTTAAAAATTTAAAAATCCTTTAAAATCTGTTTTGATTAATTAGTTATGTTATTATCAAAATCATTTGTATCACTGTTATGGTACATTTTTTTTCTTAATTATGAGTACATATATAGGGTTGTGCTTTGACTCGTATCATATGATATAACCCTATTCTGGATATATCATAACTCAACTTCCTAAAATTGTCATTCTTTCTTTTTAATTCCTTTCACCTGTCTTAATTTCATAAATTTCATTCAAAGACATTAACCATAAATTGGAATAATTCGCTCAATTACAATAATAAACAACTAAAGATGATTGAATTAAGTAAATTATCCCAAAATATGAAAAATATTTAGAATCAACTTAAAATTCGTCCACATTCGTAAATTTGGTATATCAGTCACTCTTGATATGGATAGTGCGGACCCAACACTATACAATATTCTTAAAATACAAACTGCACGAGCTATATAAACGAGTATGGATAATACGATCAACTAATATTTGCCAAAATAGTGATAGTTAATAACTACACTAGTTAGAAATTGATCCATCGATCTTTTTTATACTTGTGTTACGTTGGGTCTGCTTTTACCTGTTTATCCGAGCTTACATCGAGCTAATGATGACAGTCGAAATGATGATGGAAAGGATCGGCCTGAACGATGTAGCCGAGGCTGTTCGAGGCGGCGAAGAGTATGTTGTTTCGTCATATGTTCTACTTCCTGTTGAGAAAAAAATAAAATTAAAAAAACCCCGACCATCTTGGACCGATCTTTATCAAACATAGCTAAGAACACTCCCGACTGATTCACCTTTCAAACAAAATAAACTAAACCAAAATCGGTTCATCCCTTCGGGAGCTACGATACCACAGACAGACACAGACACGTCAAATTTAAACACCCCGTCGTTTGTGTGTCGGGGGTTAAAAATGATGTATAAAGAATATACCTATATTTTGCTGACTGTATTAATGGATAGTTGTACATTGTTTCTATAGTCTTAGCTCTTAATTTTTTGCTATGTTCTAAATTAGATAACCAGTCTAATTGCTCGCGCTTTTATGAAACCGGAATATGAAGAATCTAAGCTATGAATTGTTTTAAATCTAAATGTGTCTGGGAACTAGAAAAAGTTCTCCCACAAGTTAATTTGGTTTTTATTCCATTTTTTTAGTGGTACTGTAAATAACTATGGTATAAAAAGAAGTATTGATTTTATTCTGTCTTATTATATTACGTATAAATTAAAAAGCAATTCAAATAGAATTTAAAATATGAATATTTTTATAAACTGATCCATTTATAAAAAATGTCTAAAGCGTTTGTATTTAGAATTAATTTAAATTATTTTTATATGTTTTTAATTAAATCATTACATACTTATACAATAACTATTTATTCTATAATACTCTTTAAATATATTTTGAAATCAGTCAAAAACAAATATAATACACAATTTCAACTTACCGATGCCTTCTGCACCAGATCCTTCTTCTCCCGAGCCCTCAGCATCGTACGAGGCATCATCGTCAGTGTAGCTTCGACCAGACCCTGAACCCTCGTCGCCTGCTTCGTCGCCTTGCATGAAGGCCTCCGCTGTCGGTGTCGATGCCCAGGAGTGGGATACTAACAACTATAATAAACGAAACTATATCAAGATCTAAATCGTAGTACCTTCATAGTAAATATAGTCTTATATTTAATCTCATAGCCCACACCGTGGACTCGATCGGAAGGGAATTTTAGGCCTAGGCTTGATTGTTTACAAGGCGGAAACAGAAACACCCAATATTATATTTAGTTCGACCCGGACTCGAACCCAAATTCTTGTCATGAGCTGCTAGCCAAGAACAAGCTAGCTATTAGGCTTACAGCATTATAGTCAATTGTCAAGATTGCAGTGTGTCTCACTGACAATGCAGTTTACGTTGGAAGCCGCGGATTCGATTTCCCTTGGATGTCGGCGTTTGTTTTATCGGAAAGTTAGTTTAGTTTACTTAAGTTTAAAGGACCATTGGACAATTTCTTATGTTATAATTGTAAAGTATAAGTGTAATAAAGTACCTACCCACAAAAAATAGCGGCCAATTATTTTACCTTATTAATATTTGTTTTTCGTTGTTCTTTATATTGAAAGCTCTATTAAACTAAAACAAATATTATACTTTTCTCTAAAATGATTATTTTTGAATGGTTTCTTATTTATGGCTTACGAAAATAAATAGGAATTGGTACTTGGCGATTTCTAAATCTAGATAACTCACCTGCCTGGCTTGCCGCAGCCGGTCGCCTAAGGCCGCCACTTGCGAGTCTTGGCTCGAGCTTGAAGTTACCTCGGGGTTGTATTTTTGATCACTTATCGATGCCGACGCGACTAGCGCTTTCGTATATCTGTTTGAACATGTTTCCATAATTATTACAGGTTTCGAGATAAATTTTAAAATAACGCATATATAATAAAATCAATTCAAAATGGTGTTTGCGTGTTAGTTTTTAATAGTGCCTATCTAAAGACATTTCATGTGAGTAAAATTAATTTGAATTTATATCTCTTCCCTAAAATGGGGGGTGGGGGTAGGAGGGTGATAAATATTTTACGACCTATTCTCATACCTACCAAATATACCTACAAAATACACACGAGCCATTTCGGAGGAGTGCGACCACAAACACCGTGACACGAGATATTTATATATTAGATGTTCCTTAGCTCTTAAGTTTTATTGTTTATATGAGCGAGTACGTATGTTTGATACTCCGTAACACTGAAACTGCTAGACGGTTTGGATGAAATTTAGTAGGTACAAAGACAGACTATGACTTGGAGTAAAACATAGGTTACTCTTAGAAACCCAGACCCAAACGAAGTCAGAGTTAATCACTAGTACTGTAATAATAATAATAATAAATAAAAAAATACAACAAACTGTAATAATAAATAAAAAATTAACTCACTCTCCAATAGTCTCTCCATTCCAACACTTCTCATTGCCATCGTTCGCGAAGTCAGGATCGTCACACAGTCTGTCCGACAGTCCAGCGAAGAGCTTCTTACTGGACGCTAGAGTAGCAGCAAATTGCAATAATTCTGTATCGGGAGGAGGCGCTCGAAGAGCATCGCGTCTTGATGCTCCAGGAGTAGGACGGGGGGAAGTGAGACTGGGAACATCCACTGTTGAAGGCGGCCCGCATTCTTGTCGTACCTAACCAAACAAGTAATAAAAAATACATAGAAAATGTCGTGGACAAAGGTGGACTTATATAAGAAACGATACATCAAAGTCAATGTAAATATATGTATATCGAAAGTAAAAAAAAGTATGATGTCTTATGAGAATTATTCAATGTTGATGTTGAGTATTAAATATTTGATGACGAATAAAATATATAGAGATAGACTTGTACGGCACATCCATTTTATACCAAGCAGTAGAGTGAGGCGCTGTAATTAATATAATTATATTTTATGCATAAAATGAAACATTAAACGGCAGCTTGTCGGGTGCTGTGTAGTCGTAATAATACTATGTATTTACCTAGCCGCTGAGATATTTTAAATCGTTACGAGCCTAACAATTGTAATATTAAGATGGTGTAAGTTAATTGGCAGAAAAACATTGTAGTATGCCTATAATTGTAAACTGTGGAAGCCGTCCGCTTTGGCTTTTTATGTTAATTACAGCTACGGCGAAGTCTATACGCTTTTCAAATAAAAAATTCTGTGCTCTAAAGATATATCAAGTTAAGATCCTTATAGAAATATCTAATTGCTTTTGCCCGAAGTAAAAAGGCTTGTAATTTTAATTAAGGAGATTCAAGTAGAATTTACGCTGGAATAAATCAAAGTTATATATTTTAAGAGTTATTTCACAGCGTGATAACAAAGTGTAATTACGCTATGAAAAGTATATAGAGTTTGTACGATTATATTGTAAATAATATAACAAGAACAGAGTATCAATACTCATATAATTTGTCAGCTTACAAATCTCTAGATACTGGTGCGGAAATAGCCAGTGTGAACGCCCTTACCGACGCGCGACACACGCAAATAAACCACGAGGCACTACACCGTAAATAGTCGCATAGCTACAGTACTCGTTGCATTCTAAAAATTGCACAAAATTATGCATAATGAGCCTTTATGCGGCAACGACTTCTATGGACCTCGACGTCTCGGTCGCAGATACCTATCGTTATATGAATTCATGATCAAAACCACGTACGAATGTGTAAGATAAAGCTAAACGAAGCGCACCTCGACGAGTTTTAATGCAGATATTTCGAAGAGAACACGTACGTAATTACGCGTAATGAGATATAATGATATTTATATGTAAAAAGCCGCATTTTTCTTTAATTTTGAACGACACGTTTGGCTTAGTTTGTAGTGACCCCACTTGTTGTGCCAGCGGTCGCGAATTCGAGTCCCGCTGAGAGCATTCATTTATGTGATGAGCACGAATGCTTGTACTCCAATCATAGGTGTTTATATTTATAATATGTATGTACTTGAAATTATATATGTATAGTGTATCAACTATCTGGTATCCATAACACAGGCCTCTTAGTTTACCATGGAACTAGATAGTGCTGTGTGTTAATGTTCCAATAAAAATATATATTTTCTAGCTTGTTAAAGTTTCATTTAGGTCAATAGCAAAATAAACATAAAAATTCTTTAGCGTCATTATCTATAATAAGGCAAGACGATAAAATTATTATTATTAACGACTAATTATCGTAATATTATGTAGAAAAAATATTATTTGCATCTCGATGATCATCATCTTGCTCTTAAATATTTCTACTCGTAAGTCAGCATTATCACGTAAGCAGCATCACAAATAAATTATTCTGAAAAATTTTAATAGAATCCTTTGTTCTTATGAATTTTACCATCATTCTTTGACATACGCATGCTTCACAAGAAGTAAAAATTAATAAAATGTTTACTGAATAACTGTTCTATGAAAGTTACATATGCACTTTATAGAAGTTATAGAAGCAACAAAATCGAATGTCTGACTATAAAAAGTTAATATGAAGCAATTCTAGATAGTGAAGGCATTTGCCTGCGCAGGTGTTTCTATAGTAATTGCGCTTTTAAATAAGATAACATATTTGTTAAAGAAATAAGTACAAAGATTGAGTTTTTATTTATTTGCACATTCTTACAGATAAAGCCTTGGATATTCCCAAATAGGTTTTATTACGATATATGTTTTGAGATTATTGAATACTAACATTTTATAATGTTTTGGTTATTTTTCATTGGACGTTACAAGTTTCGGCAAGAAATTTATCTATACTAATAAATGGAGAGCCAATTTTTTTGTTCGGTTATACGACGATAACTACTGAACCGATCGGAATAATACTCATACCATAAGATGCAGCGTGTATCGAAGAAGGTTTTAGTATATGATATGTTGGTGATTAATGTATTATGCGGGCGGAGCCGCAGGAAAACGCTAGTTGTTAATAATTTCTCATGCAAATATAACTTATTTTGTTTTCTAAGAGGAGGAACCCAAAAAATATCGAATAATACGTTCTATGAGTAAATAGTATAATAATATTAATTCTGAAGAAAACTAGACCATTGATTATTATCGTATAGAATATTCGACCCTTTACTACCCTAAGACTTAAGTTATATTAAATTATATTAAAGACTTAAACCCGTATTTCAAATAAGACCAATATAATACCCATAAGGTTGTAATTGTAAGTAATTAGTTATAAATACTAGAATAATTATGCATATCTTTACAAAACTCTCTCTGTTATAATTTTAGAATTTTAGGCCCAATACTTTGGTGTAGCAGTTGATAAGTGCATATTTTATTATCACATTATTATTATAATAAAGTATACTGTATACTTATCTACTGCCACACCAATGTATTATCTAATTGTAATAGAAACTTATTAAATAGACTTTGTTAAGACATCTAAGAAAATTATATAAGTAAATATATATATATATATATATATATATATATATATATATATATATATTATCGTATTACTAATATATGAAGGGTACAGGCAAAGAACTGGAAATATCCAATGAATATATTATGAGGAAAAAGCAATTTAAAGTTTAGAAGATATAATATTTTTAATTTTTATTGAGATCAAAGTAGGTACGTATGCAGTAACTTTTAACTATGTACATTTTTGGACAATCCTCCTTCTATACCGGTATCTCATTGACATTTCCAGTTCTTTCCGTTTTGGGCATAGATAAAAATGTATACTTAGCGATATCCGTTGAGTATTTGTAAAAACTAGTGGTTGAGAATGCAATTATCATAGACATAGATTGGTTACCAGTTCAAAACAAAAAAAAAACAGAATTAGTGACGTTCCCTGTTCTTTGTCTGAACCCTTCATATATTGATTACTAAAGATTAATAGGCAATACTTTGTAAAACAGTTTCCAACAAATATATTATTAACACGAAAGACAACACAATAATTTGATAATATAGAGCTGATCTGATGATGGATGTAGAAGGTGGATAGTGGAATATTTCTCTTTAATGGCTGTTAATACCAAAAATAAATTAGTTTTGAGGGACCTTTTAAGTTTAGGCTCATTTAATTATTATATAAGTTTAAACGATTATTGTATATGGGACTTCACACTTGGCTACCAGCATGTTTTTTCCTAGTTTTGAAATTATAATTATTAGCAGTATCAAATAATTAATATGTATCACGCAATATTTATTAAACACAGGACCACTATATTTAGGAATGTCGATTAAATAAGATATCTTTTCAAAGCAGTCGTGACTAACCTCATTGTTTCAATGTTTAATTATAATAATTGTAACACCATTCGCCTTTGTTCGTCCCTGTAATGACTCATGCATACATTACATTCATACAAGCAAAATAATCGCAAATTTTATACATGCATCTCATGGAATAAACGTTATCGATACATCAAAAGTTATAACCACGATACGATTCGTCGGTTATCGCTTGATTCTAACTCATGAATTATTATCATAATATCGAGGCCCTACTTACGAAGTCCTTATAACATTTTTTTCTTTATTTTATATGTGTATGTATGTAATTTGATATTTATTATTTACATATAAGCGAAGTGGAAACAGTAAATAGAAGGGCTTCTCTTTCTGTGTCCTCACTGTTTGTCAATAGGAAGTTTTACTGCAATCTTAAACTAATAGTGGTGTAACGTGTAGAAAACTAAAAAAAAATATTTATGTGTTTGATAAGTCACTATAATCAACAAAATGTCGACGTCGCTACGTCCTCCTACGATATTATTAGAATACAAACTGTGGTTAGTTTGTGTATTACTTCTATTTACATTTGGCTTTCAGATGACCATAAACCAAATTCTCAGGTTTTATATATGAGTATACTCTTACATTGTAGTTTTTGTATTTTTTCTCAGAACTTTTTCCCGCGGAAAAAAGTATACTATATATTGACCCGGATAACCAGCTATCATCATACTAAATTTCATCAAAATACCTCCAGTGGTTTTTCTGTGATGCGGTAACAGACAGACAGACAGACAGAGAAAAATTCTAAAAACTATAAATCGGCCTCTGTATCGCTAATAATGTTTATTTCAATAAGATTTTTCAAAAAATATTTAATGTACAGATTCGGCTTGGTAACAATTTTATTATATGTATAGATAAGGTTTAAAGTACAGTAATTATTCTTATTATATCCCTGTTAGCCCACCTGAAAATTCCTCATATGAGAATCGATAGACTGAACTCTACTACGCTACTAATATAGATAAAATAAGTTAATATAAATTTTTCTTTATAATAAATAAATAGGTACATAATAAGAAATATTAAAATGTCCAGAAAAGTTAATTGACCAATAATGACGCAACGTCATGAACTGATGAGATTTAAGTAGATCATCTACTTAAAATTTTATTAGCTTTTACGAACTGATTAAAGGCGGCGTTTTTTATAAGGAAAATAAAAAATACAATGGTTACATTTTTAATGATTGAACAGTTTTTAGAAAAGAGATTTCGATATTATTATATTACTGCTCCTCTCCCTGGGTAGTAGCACAATGACATAATTATATATGTATAGCCTTCAATAAACGGGCTATCTAATGCAAAAAGAATTTTTTAAATCGGATTAGTAGTTAATGAGATTAGCGCGTTCAAACAAACTAACTA